TTTGCAAAAGATCCATTCAACTTTGCAAAAGATCCATTCAACTTTGCAAAAGATCCATTCAACTTTGCAAAAGATCCATTCAACAAAAAGATCCATTCAACTTTGGCAAAAGATGCATTTCAACTTCTGCAACAAATCCCTGTTTCTCGAGCTTTCCTCGGCTTGTTGCCACTCGTTTCACTCCTTTTAATCCTTGTTATTCATTTCCAGATAGTTCAATTCATTTTGATTCAACTTTGACTCAGTTTCGAGGCAATTCGACTTAGTTTCGATTCACCTCGGTCCAAGTCCTTCAGTTGAATTCAATTCCATGCATTTCAATTCAGTTTCATTCATTTTAATTCATTTCAATTCAATTTCATTCATTTTAATTCAACTTCACTCTTTTCAATGCATTTGTTCCATTTCAATCCAAGTTTAATTAATTTTTGTTCAACTTCGTTCATTCCAATTCAGTTCCGTTCAGTTCCATTCACTTCCATTCATTTTGACTCAACTCCGTTCATTTTGGTTAAATTCAATTCATTTACACAATTTTTAATTCATTTTTGTTCTTTTCATTCATTTCTATTCATTTCTATTTATTTTTACTGCGTTTTGCTTCGATTTGAATAGAATTCTGTCCAACTTGAATTCAGGTTCACTTCGAGTTGCATTTCAATGCACTTGAAATCCACTTTACTTCAACTTCAGTTTCAATTCGCTTTCATTCACTTTATTCAATTCATTTTAATTTCAATTTAGTTTCAATTCATTTTTATTCGGCTTGTTCTATTTTCATTCAATTCAAAACACTTCGGAACTTCACTTTCAATTCGACAAAGAAAGGCTCCGGAAAATTCGAAATAATTCAAATTCATTTGAACCAATTTAAATAATTAAAACATATTTAAATGGATTTAAGTGGATTTGAATGAAATCAAAAAAAATGGATTCAAATGGCGTGAAATGAATTCAAATGGGTTAAAGTGGATCCGAATGGACTTCAATGAATTTAAGTGCATTTGAATCAATTCAAATAAATTCACATCAATTCAAGTGAATTAAAGTGGACTTTAGTTCAGATAAATGGATTTAAATGAATTTAAATGAATTTAAATGGATTAAAATGGATTAAAATGGGTTTAAATGGATTCGAACGGACCAAGATTTATATGCACTTTTAAACCAATTAAACCGAATTCAAAATAAATCAGTTTATTCTATTTCTTCAATTAAAGCCAACATGAACCAGTTCTGATGCTGCTGCCGCTGCTGCTGTTGCTGCTCGGAATATTGTACTGCTGTTGCTGCTGCAGCTGCTGTTGCTCCCGCTGCCGCTGCTGCTGGAATTGCTGCTGCTGCTGCGTGCATTCCCTTCTGCTAGTGCCACTGCAGCAGCAGTAGCTGCTGCTGCATCAGCAGCAGCAGCTGCTGCAGTTGCTGCTGCTGGGGCCACCAGCAGAACAACGGCGCGGAGAGGAATCGAATAAAGAGCGAATTAAATCTTGACTTATTTATTACTATTTGAAATTAATTGAATTAATTTAATTAATTAAATTAATTCAATTAATTCAATTAAATAGTTACCTGCTCCTCTGGCTGCAGCTGCGAGCTGAATTTCTCGAAAACATCCGAAAAGGCTTCCGCCAGCTGCGCAATGAGTCCTTCCGCGCCTTCTGCTTCCTTCGCAGGAACAAATTCAATTTCTACATCTTGCTGCTGCTGCTGCTGCTGCTGCTGCTGCTGCTGCTCCTCGTCGCTGTCAGTGTCTTCTTCGCCGTCTTCGTCTTCGCTTTCCGTTTCTGCATCTTGGGGGTTTACCTGCAGCAGCAACTCGAGCTTCTTCTTCAGCTTTTTGTTGCGGCCCACTGGCAGCAGCAGATCGCGCTGTTTGCTGCGCAGCGGCACTGCAGCAAGCAGCTCCGCCTTCTGGCTGCCTGCTGCTGCGCCCTCGTCCTCCGGCTGCTGCTGCTGCTGCTGCTGCTGCTGCCGCTTCTGCTGCTTCTGCCGCTTCCGGCGCAGCAGCTTCACCACGCGCTTCGCCTTCGCCTCGTTCTTTTTCCACAGGTCATGCAGTGGGCTCTTTCCGTTTGCTGCTGCTGCTGGTGCTGCTGTTTCGGATGCTGCTCCTGCTGCTGCTTCTGCTTCGCCTGCTGCTGCTGCTGCTGCTGCTGCCTCCCTTTCGACTTGCTGCCTCGCCTCGTCGTTCTCCCTGGGGGAGGCAGCCGACTCCGGGGGCGCCATCTTGCTGACGTTTGCACAGCTGCTGCTGCTGCTGCTGCTGCTGTTGCTGCTGCTGCTCCTGCTGCCGATGCTGCTTCCCCTCCTCCTCCGCGTCCTCTGGCTGCGCTCCTACGCCCTGTGCTTTCTGCTGCGTCGGTCTCAATTAGGCTGAAGACACAACACTGCAACTTTGCTGCTGCGGCTGCCTCAGCTGTCGTTGTTGCTGCTGCAGCAATTTGGGAGGCGGCTGCTGCTGCCGTTTCCGGGGCTGCTGTTGCTGCTCTTGCTGCATGCGGCTGGACTTCCTCTCCTGTGTGATCTCCGCCCTTCTTGTTTTGTTCTTTAATTTTTATAAATTAAATCTATTTCTATTCTTCCAGACTTGGAAGGAGCACACTATCCGCAGGCGGTGCAGCAGCAATAACGGCAACTGCAGCAGCACCAGCAACAACAGCAGTAGCGGCGAGCAGAGCAGCTGCTGCAGCACGCGGTGCTCCAGTGCTGCAGAGAAACAGCCTTCGGAAGTCTAACGCTTTATTGAAGAACAATTTAAATTAAAATGGGAATAAATTCGAAAAATAAAAAGAGATTTAGAGTTGGTGGCGCAAACATTCGCTGCAGCAACCCCCGACGCGCAGCAGCTGCAGCATCCTACTGTAGACGGCCACCAGTGCACCCATAGGAATCGGGGGAGTTTTCTTTCAATATTTCAATCCATAATGAGTTTTATTTTATCGTTTCAGTCCCTAATGAGTTTTATTTTAATGTTTTAGTCCCTTTATTGCTCAGAGGCGAGAGCTTCCCAGGCAGCCACCGCCTAGAGGCCGAACACCATAGAGCGACAGCAAAGTGCCAGTACAGAACTGCACACGTTTGCGGGCAATGGCTTATACGCTAGGGGCCCCTAGGGGCCCCCTGGGGCCCCCGGAGGCCCCTGGAGGCCCCCCAGGGGCCCCGAGGGGCCCCCTGGGGGCCCTCCAGGGGCCCCTCAATGCGTAGCTGCGGCAATCTGGCTACCGCTGCCGCTGCTGCTGCGGTCTGGTTCGAGCTGCTGCTGTTGTCTGCTTAGGGCTGTTGCTGCTGCAGCTCAGGCCGAGTGGCTGCTGCTGGAGAGAAACCTAAACCCTAAACCCTAAACCCTAAACCTGCTCCGGGCCTGAGGCTTTCTGGCAGCAATCTTTTCTGCAGCAGGAAGATGCAGCAGCCCTTTCTCTGCGCCTTTTTGACTTTTAAAAACACAAACGAATATCTCATTTTGTCTATGAAGCAGAAATAGGGCCATTTTCATGTTGGTTAAGCGCGTCTGGGGAGAAGCAGCACATGCTGCTGCTGCTGCTGCTGCTCCTGCTGCTGCTGCTGCTCCTCCTGCTGCTGCTGCTGCTGCTGCTGCTGCTGCTGCTCCTGCTCCTGCTGGTTAGCGGCAGCCCCACGGGGCCTGCGCTGTGAGGCGAGGCGGGGGCCCCAGGGGCCCCCGGTTTAGAGCCCGAGTTCAATTGGAGCTGCTGTCTGCAGCTGGAGATCAGCACAAATAATTCAATTAATTGATTTATTTAATTTAAAATTAAAAAAAGAATAATAAATAAATTGATTGCGAATTAGGGGCTGCCCGAGGAGCCCCGCTTCACCACTTTCCTGTTCTTCTCCATTTTCTTTTATTTCTCTTCTCCATTTATTTATTTATTAAAACAATATCTGCTGCGCAGGCACTCTTCTGTTTCCTTTTTCTTTCTGAAAAGTTCTAAAAAGACCTGCTGCTGCTGCGCTGCTGCTCTGCTGCGCTGCTGCGCTGCTGCGCTGCTGTGCTGCTGTGCCGCTGCGCTGCTGCGCTGCTGCGCTGCAACATAAGAAACTTTGCGGAAGAAGCAATTAGTTATTTCTTGTTTTTTTCGCAGATTCTGAAACCCCACATCTTCATTTATTATTTGCTGCAGCTTTTCGGGATTCAAAGGACCTAAAAGTCTTTTTTTTGCAGATTTCATTTCTCTTTTTGCTGCTGCTGCTGCTGCAGTGCTGCAGCCTCCAGCTTGTGCAGCTCTGCTTGCTTTCAAGCCCAGGTGTGTCTGTGGATGTATATATATTATACTTATATTTATATATTTATATTTATATTTATATTTATATTTATATTTATATTTATATTTATATTTATATTTATATTTATATCTATATCTATATTTATATTCATATCTGTATTTATATTTATATTTATATTATTTATATTTATAATTGAATTTATATTCATTAATAACTGCATAGTTCATAGAGGCTTTGAGGGCCTCTTAGATACGCATAGAACTCTGGCAAAGAAACACTCCGCCTTTGTTGAATATTTCCGAAAAAGTAATTCTAATAATAATAATAATAATAATAATAATAATATATAATAATAATAATAATAATAATAATAATAATTTCTGGAAATTAGTTTTAATAATAATAATAATAAAGAAGTCCCTTTTTTTATTATTTTTGCTGTTAAAGAAAGTGCCAGTGGGGCCCCCAGGTGACCCCGGAATTCTCTGGGGCTTAATCCGGGATAATATCTCGAGTTTATTAAAAAGATTTATTTTATTTTAAAAGTCTTTTTTATTTAATTTGAATTTAAAAGTCTTTTTTTATTTAATTTGAATTCAAAAGTCCCAACTTCGGTCGTTTTGCAATTCTTCAGAAACTCCAGAACTTTCTGCTGCTGCTGCTCGCTCACGGGGCCCCACAAAAATAAAATTAACTTCACACTTTAATGCATGCAGCAGCAAAGCCCCATTGTGGCCCTGGGGGCCCCCCTTATAACTCAGGGGGCCCCCAGGGGGCCCCCAGGGGCCCCCCTTTTAGGCTGGCTACAGCTCTGGGGGCTGCAAGAATTTGCATTTTAATGAAGTACTTTTCAAAGTTATTTAATTCCAAATATGAATTGCTACTTGTTCTTTTATTTCAAAAAACTGGCTTTTGCTGCTGCATGCATGCAGATTTGAAAAGCCCCGCAGCTGCAGCAAAGCAGCAAAGACCAGCGGCCCAAGCCCGTGACCAGTGGTCTCCCATAGGAGTCTGCGGACTTGGCATTTTGCTTCAATTTAAAGATATTTGTGTTAAAGTTGAAGACTTTGAGGGGTCAAATGCAAAGGATTGGAGGCATAGAGGGGCCATTTTGCTGCTAAGGAGGGGCCCTGCTGCAGCGCCTGAGCTGGGGATACGGCTAAGGCCCAACTGCAGCAAAGCCTTTTGTGTCTGCTGCTGACGCGAAGCAGCAGCAGCAGCAGCAGCAGCAGCTGCAACCCAGAAAGTGTCCTGCGGCCAGTTTTGCTTGTCCTCCCGGGGAAGCAGCAGCAGGCCTGCTGCAAACTAACAACTAACTTTGTTAGGGGTTATTAGTTTGCTGCAGAAGACTTGAAAGTATTTCACAAAGAAAAAGAAAAATCATCTAAACTTTAAAATCTAAAAAAGAAATTCCAGTCTGTAAAAGGAAATCTAATCTGCTTTAGTTCCTTTGCCTGTTTACTTTCCCGGCCACGGCCTCCAGTGATTTCTTGCACAGTTTGAAGAGCTTTTTTTAACTAGGACACAAAACAAAATGATTAAAAATAGTTTAGAAAGTTAAAACAATTAAAATAAACTAAGTTTACTCGAGCTTCCCTCGAGCCTTAGTTGCCACTTGCAAGAACTTCTGAAACGCGCATTTCAGGTGTATCCCCAGCTCAGCCCGTAGTGCAAATTGCAAATCTTCTAATCCGCCAGTTTTCTGCAAATTGCGTCTTTGTGGCTTTTTTGCATTTAATTAAAAAGGTAATTAATGAGGCCTCCAGCGAGTTCCCGTGTCTTAGACCACAAATAGCAGCAGCTTTCTCCGCAAAACAGCACTACTGCTGCTGCTGCAGATGGCCGGCAGCAGCAAAGGGGGTTTCGCTGCTGCGTCTGGGGTGTCTGTACACCCCGAGGCTTCCCCGTGTCTACAGAATGCAGATATAAAGGATAGCTGCCAAGTCCAGTGCTTATTTCCTGCACTGAATATTGCCAGGGGGGGCAAAAAGGAGCTCCCGGGCCCAGAAGTTTGATTCAATTAATGTTAAATGGTAAATTAATAATTAGAAGCCGCTAAAGATTGGCGAAAAATGCAAAAAGAACGGAGTTTCGTGGACTGCCCCGTGGTGCGAGCATCGGCGGGTGGGAGCAGTAGCCGAAGTAGGCAGTGAAGGAAGGCAAAGACAGTTGAAAGAAAGGCAAATAAAACAAAGAGACAAATAAATATATAAATAAATATCAAAAAATAAATAAAGGGAGCAAAGAGAAAGAACCAAACGCTGCTAACGAGCGCGCTAGTACACTGCTGCTGCTGCTGCTGCTGCGTGGAAACGGGAGCGGACAGACACTCAAAGATAGAGATAAAAGCTTAGAAATCCAAATAGATTACGAATAATACTGATTAATAAATAATTAAAAAACAAAAGGAAAAATCCCGCGTAGAAGCGCAGCAGCAGCAGCAGCAGCAACGGCTGCCGAGCAGCAACCAGCAGGAGGCAGCGGCTGCGGCGCTTTGGGGGGTGGCAGCAGCAGCAGCAGCGCCACCAACAGCAGCTGCTGCTGACGTTGCTGCAGAAGGACTCCGTAGAAGGTAAAATGTTTTGTTTTTTCTGCTGCAGTTGCTTGCAACTAACAACGGAGAAGAGACACGCGATTTGAGTTTGCTGCCGTTGCCTTCCGTGGCATCTGCTGCTGCTGCTGCAGCTGCTGCTGCTGCTGCTGCTGGTGCGCCCCTGGTGCCTTTCGCCTCATCTATTGCCTTTCTATTGGTGCTGCAGTAAAGACTGCAGCCGCTGCAGCAGCAACCTGCAGCAACTCTTCCCCCCTGTGGTGTGCATACACCTCAACAGCATGTGTGCATTGCTCGCGCAGCATCGGCGGCTGCTGCTGCTCGGGCTGCTGCTGCTCTCCAGTGTCTGTGCTGCAGCAGCAGCAAAGGAGGGTGCAGCAGCAGACGCGGCGGCGGCCCCCGCAGGTGCTGCTGCGGCGCCGGCGGCGCCGCAGCA